ATATTTTTTTACTACTCTATAACCTATAATTTACACTCTCACTCATTTTATTGATTAGTTTACACCACAACAAAACTTCAGAACCACATGTGACTCATAATATCATCCCCATCTTAGAGGAGTTTTAATTTGCATTTCTCTGATTGCTAGAGATGATGAGCATTTTTTCGTATATTTGTTGATTGATTGTATATCCTCTTCTGAGAAATGTCTGTTCAGGTCCTTGGCCCATTTAAGGATTGGATTATTTGTTTATTGGTGCTTATCTTGTGGAGCTCTTTATGTACCCTAGAAATTAGAGCTTTATCTGATGTGTGAGGGGTAAAAATTTGTTCCCAGAATGTAGGCTCTCTATTCACCTCACAGATTATTTCTATTGCTGAGAAAAGACTTTTTAGTTTGAATCCACCCCATAGGTTGATTCTTGGTTTTAATTCTTGTGCTATAGGTGTCTTATTAAGGAAATTGGGGCCTAGCCCCGCATGATGGAGATTAGGGCCTACTTTTTCTTCTGTTAGATGCAGAGTCTCTGGTTTAATTCCTAGATCCTTGATTCATTTTGAGTTAACTTTTGTGCATGGTGAGAGATAGGGATTCAATTTCATTTTATTGCATATGGATTTCCAGTTTTCCCAGCACCATTTGTTGAAGATGCTATCCTTTCTCCAGTGCATGCTTTTGGCATCTTTGTCTAATATAAGGTAGTTTTAATTTTGTGGGTCTCTGTGACCTCTATTCTGTACCATTGGTCTACCAGCCTGTTTTGGTGCCAGTACCATGCTGTTTTTGTTACTATTGCTCTGTAGTATAGTTTAAGGTCTGCTATAGCGATACCACTTGTTTCACTCTTCCTGCTTAGAATTGCTTTGACTATTCTGCGTCTGTTATTAAGATACCATCTCACTCCAGTAAGAATGGCAGCCATTATGAAGACAAACAACAACAAGTGCTGATGAGGATGCGGGAGGGGGGGAAGGTACACTCGTACACTGCTGGTAAATTGGCACAGCCAATTTGGAAAGCAGTATGGAGATCCTTGGAAAGCTGGGAATGGAACCACCATTTGACCCAGCTATCCCTCTCCTCGGTCTATACCCAAAGGACTTAAAAACAGCATACTACAGGGACACAGCCACATCAATGTTTATAGCAGCACAATTCACAATAGCTAAACTGTGGAGCCAACCTAGATGCCTTTCAGTGGATGAATGGATTAAAAAATGTGGCATTTATACACATTGAAATATTACTCAGCAATAAAAAAAAGAATAAGATCATGGCATTTGAAGGGAAATGGATGGCATTAGAGAAGATTATGCTAAGTTAAGTTAGCCAATCCCCAAAAAACCAAATGCCGAATGTCTTCTCTGATGTAAGGGGAGTGACACAAAACGGGGTTGGGAGGGAAAGCAAGGGAGAAAAATTACCTCTAGATTGGGAATAGGGGTGGGAGGGAAAGGGAGGGAGAAGGGGAAGAGTGTGGATGGTGGGAGGAGACCCTCATCATTATACAAAATACATGTATGAAGATGTGAATTTGTAAGGGTCCGGCAAAGCGTCGGAGAAAGAGACCACCAAGTGACCACTCATGCAACTGGCAGAAGGGGATTTATTTATTGGGGATCCATTCCAGCATGCTGGGGCTCCATACCCACTCAAGAAATGTGAGCAGCCCAGAGCCCAGAGCAGGGGCTGAGCACTGCTTAAGTACACTTTTTTGGGGAGGGTGGGGACTTTACATACATCACAGTCTCCTTTAACAAATCACCATACACCACGGGAAAGTCAAACAACAATTCTTAGACTTGATTAGTACATACATTGGCGGGAACAGGTCAGGCGGGGGTGATAGGTCAGTTCTAAATGGGGTACACATTCAAACTGATTGGTCCAGGCCCTGCAATGCCTACGTGCAAGATCATACAGAGCCCTGAGTTATTAGACAACCAAGTGGTCAGGGGGAATATTTACTGGGCGGTTCCAAGCATTGTCTTAACAGCTACAGGAATTTCAGGTTTTGCATATAGCATAGAAACCTAACAATACCTAATCCTTTACATTTTAACTCAGGCCTTGCAGCCTAGAAACTTTACAATGCCAGGTCTTTTACACTTTAACTTCAATTTCTTTTACCCTTACAAATTTGGTGTCAACATAGCTTATATACAATCAGAGATATGATAAATTGTAGAATAAAGAGTTTAAATGCAAAAAAAATAATGAGAGAGCTCATGTATAATGGCAGAATTTGGTGTGAACATACTTTATATACAGAGTTACGAAAAATTGTGTCGAAAATGGATAATTATGATTGTAATGCATTCCACTATTGTCATGTATGTAAGAAATTAAAAAAATAATAATAATATCATCACCAAAGGAATCTCCAGAGAAGGGGACCTCATCTCAGAAAAATATGTCCTTTATATGAGAGAAAAGAATTTCAGCAAGTGCCTGTCAGAGACATGAGATTCATTCAGGAAAACAGATAAATATTCAATGTAGAATGAGGGTGATATCCAGAGTATGCTGGAGTTAAAGCAAGTAATGTAGGCCATCTCCAGAGGAAGAAAGAGCCACCCTTTGGTGCTAGGGCTGGTCTAGTGATGGAATCAGGGTGGAGTTGTGTGATTTTGAGTCATTTTCCCCTTGACTTGTGCAGGGACCCATGTTAACTTTTGTGGCAGGGAGAACAAGGGCTGAGAACAAGGGCTAAGGATGTAGGCTTCTTGAAGGTAAGTTGCTTACTTTGCATAATAAAGCTTCGTGGGTGGCCCTGCTTCATGGGTGGTGCTGCCTAGGGGCTGAAAGCTTATCTTTGTTTTGGATGGAGGACTCCTGACATATTTCACACTGAACAGTTTCAGTCAAGGTGAAGGACTCTGTTTTCCCAGAGGCACCAGACCAGTTGAGATCAGTCATCATGGTGAACCTTGGCTGCTGGATGCTGGTGAATTTGCTATCAACATTGTTTAAAGATGTGGTTTCTTAAGGTTTCCGGACTTGGAAAGTCATACAAGGGATTTTAGACCTGTATGTAATCATGACTGTAATCTCCCCAAACCTCTTTATATAATTCAAAAACCCTGACATCCACCACAGGCTTTCAAGTGTCCAACTCCCTGTGACTTCTCCAGTCTGTCTTTAACCTTTTCTGCCTCTGTGCTTTGGTGCCCCATTGTTTCTATTTATTGAAAAAGTTAATTCCTTCAGCTTTATCACAGGGTATCACTTTTACTTGAAATGTGCCTCCCTTTCCCCCAAACATACACATACCTACTTCTTCAAGCTCACATCAGTTTAAACTATCATGGAATATTTTCCTATTGTCATTTAGATATTCCTGATATTCTCTGTTACTAGAACTCATACTCTGACATTTCTCATTCTTGCATAACCTCTTGTGTGTTTGTCTTTTGTCCCTCAATTTTACTAATTGATGTCCCAGGAACATATGAGTGGTGGTCTTGGTGATGAGTGGGTGTCAGTTTTTCCTTCTTTGGGTTCTAGGGGCATCAGAGGCCTGGTGTTAAACCAAGACACAAAGAAAAGACAGCCAACTACAATTTTAAATCAAATTAAAACAAGCTTGTAATTCTGACTAGCTGAGACTGACCCTCTCCCCAAATCCGTGGGATAGAAGACAGTCCTCCAGCTCTCTAGGAGCGCAGTTTTATAGCACAGAAAATTGCAAAAGGGGGGTGTCTTGAGAACTTACACATAACAGGATTTTGGCAAGCATAATACAAAGGCAGGTAGTAGGTTAATGGTCTAAATGGTTCAGCACTTAGGGAGTAAATTTAGATCCCAACATCAGAATTTATGAGGCACCATTAGGGTTTCAGAGAGGGTTGTTATCTGGCCAGGGAAAGCCAGGCGTGGGTGAGTTCAACGCATGGGCAGGCATTCCAAGCAATTTTAAAACATCAAAATATAGCCAGGCCAAACAGAGATCCTAATATTTTACAGAAAACAGAAATGGATCTTTTATGACTTTTAAAAAGATGGCTCCTGATCTTAAGAGGAAATTAGGCTGGGTTTATCACCTGGCATAGTGTTAGCACTAAGGAAGAATTTACAGAATATTCTAGATGGGTCTTGTTTAAGGAAAGGGTGAGAGTTGTGGGCATGAGAAGTGGGAGCAGAGAGTGTCTTTGGGTGGAAATTTCCACCAGGAGCTGGTGCTGGTTACCATGAGGGGCAATTCCTGCCTGTTTTTTGTTCCCCAACCCTGTACCTGAGGGGGACCAGGTCCTGAATAGAGTGGGTCAGAGGAATTTCTCTGCCCTTGGCCCACCTCCCTATGGTCCCTCTGTCTCAGGCAGATGGAAGTAGAAGGCCCAGTGTCTGGGGTGGGGAAATCAGTCAGGGGTGTCCTGATGTTTTTGTCACAGTGTCCAGTTGGGTTCCAGGTCCATGGTGTCCTAAACAAAGAATTGAGCTACACACACAAGTAACAGGTAAAGTACAGATTTATTAAGGGTGGAAGTGGAAGTAGACTCCATAAGCTAGAGCTGAGTGGGCCAAGAAAGGGGGGGGGGGCTCAAGGCCCTGATGTCTGGAAACCAGTGTCTTGTATACTGAGCTGTGATGCGTTATGGCCCTCATGAGACCTGATTGAAGACCTAACCCAACTTACTAACATGGGTCACCTCATGACACCTGATTAAATAGTGTCCAATTCCCGCGTTGGTCATTGTAGAAAACCTAATTAGAATACTGCCCACTCTGCCCTCAGTGGTCATTTTAAAATATCGAGAATGTGGTGAAGTTGTCATGGTGTCATGGTGATAAGTCCTCAGGGGCGGAGTTGTCGTGGTAATGAGGGACACAAACAAGGACATGACTTGTGTCCCTGTCTTGTCCTCTATGGGCATCCTTCTTTATGTCCTACCGCCTCCATCTTGGTGTCCCATCATCCCCGCCCCCGCCCAGGTCTCCCTGTGTGTCAGTCTCCTCCCAGAGGCCGCCTGGTGAGAGGGTTGTTCCTGTCCCCACAGCACGTTTCCTGGAGCAAGTTTCACATGAGTGTCATTTCTCCAACGGGACGGAGCGGGTGCGGTTCCTGGACAGATACTTCCACAACCGGGAGGAGCTCCTGCGCTTCGACAGCGACGTGGGGGAGTTCCGCGCGGTGAGCGAGCTGGGGCGGCGGGATGCCGAGAACTGGAACAGACAGAAGGACTTCATGGAGGATGAGCGGGCTGCGGTGGACAACTACTGCCGACACAACTACGGGGTTGGTGAGAGCTTCACTGTGGAGCGGAGAGGTGAGTGCTGGGCCAGGAGAGAGAAAGGGTGTGTGTGTGTGTGTGTGTGTGTGTGTGTGTGAGAGAGAGAGAGAGAGAGAAGGAGAGAGAGAGAGAGAGAAGGAGGAGGAGGAGTAATAGAATGTGTGTGTGTGTGAGAGAGAATGTGTGTGTGAAAATGTGTGTGTGTGAAAGAGTGTGTGTGAAAAAGAGAGAATGTGAGAGTGTGTGCAAGAGAGAATGTGTGTGAAAGAGTGTGTGTTACAGAGAGTGTGTGTGTGAGAGTGTGTGTGCATGAGAGAATTTGTGTGTGTGACAGTGTGTTTGTGTGTGTGTGTGAAAGCATATGTGTGTAAGACAGAGTATGTGTGTCTGTATGTGAGAGAGTTTGTGTGTGTGTATGAGAGAAAGAGTGAGAGAATGTGTTTGTGTGAGAGAATGTGTGTGTGTGTGCGTGTGTGCGGCACGCCCGCTATGAGAAGTTAAGGGTGCCTGTGAGGTCCCTGTGTTATTGTCAGTGTCCCTGCAGGGACCTGGGGAGCCAATGCTGCGCATGGGGCAGGAGAGCTGAGGAAATCCTGACCCCAGAGTGAGGGCAGGACTGGAGAAGAGCTTGAGGTTTCTGTGAATTTGGTGTCACTTAGCCCTGGTGGCCCCAGAGGAGAGGAGAGGTGGGAGAAGGCAGTTGCTGGAAATGGAGGGGACTTGCCTTGGGGTGAATGGGAGGCAGGTGAGGAGGGGGCATGCAGGAGTCCGTGGTTGGGTGAAGGTTTACATTTACTTGCCAAATGCTGTTACCATGTGAAGAATTCTCTTTTATCTCTGGGGTTCTCACTGTTTTTGAAGTGATTTTATGGATTCTCTGGATAGTGAGATTCCGAAAACATTGTTGATTTATTTTGTTTATACTTTGCTTCCTTCATGGCTTTCCATGTTAAGAATTTTAGCATTATATTTAATGAAATATGCTCTAATATTGTTAGTAACAATTTAGCATCAATATTAAATCAATCCTTTAGCAGTTTTGTGACAATGTTTTCCCTCAAGCATTCCTTGAGGGGAGAGGGAAATGGTTGTGGATGATGTGAGGAGGCTGGTCACAAACTTCCTTGACATACACCGTTTTTAATCCAGTAGGCCCTGATATCAAAGAGTGCTAGGTTTGTTTCCATAGCATTTTACTGAAAATCAAATATCAGACTTTTTGTGTGAATGGGCTGTGGGATTACCTCTGATCTTTTTGAGGCTTACTTTACTTCTAAATTTCCTAATGTTTCCTGCCTTGTTCCTTTGCTTTCCTAGGACATGGATTTTTACATATTTGAAATGGTGGTGAAACTGGATTTTGAGTTACAATTTTGTTACTTAAATAACAATGTTGCTATTTTTATATTTTAAGTGGTTGAACATTAACTCTATGTGGTTATTACACAATTTACCTCACATTCCTCTTGGTTACATCTTTTTTTAAAACTGTCAAATACAGTCCTCCCTGGGTGTGTTAGCTTTCTGTCATGGTGACAAAACACCTGCCAACAACAAAAAAGTTTTTTGTGAAAAGTATTGTGTCATGCATGAAGTTCACATGTTATGAAACTCAGACTCTGTCATGACCACAGATACCAGATGAAAGTTATTTTGTCTCATAGTCTCAGAGGTTTCAGTCCTTGTTCCCTTGACTACCTTGCTTTGGGCCTGTGGCTATGGCTACACAGTGGAGTCAGAAGGACATGGCGGGGGGTAGGCTACTTACTTCATGAGGACTACAAACCAAAGGGGGAGGAGTGGCCAGAGTCCCAATATCCCCTTAAAGGACATGGCCCCAATGATGGAACTTCCTTTCAATAGGCCCTACCTCCTAAAAATTCTACTGACTCCCAGTAGTGCCCCAGACTAGTGACAAGGCCTTAGCACATGGCCTTTTAGGAGCATTTAATACAAATCATGATATTAGGTATGGAGGAGAGGGTAATTTAGTTCTAGGAACCCAGTGGATACGGAAATATGTGAATGTCAAAGTCCTTTATACCAAATGATCTAGTAACTGCTTATAATTTATGCATATCTTCCTGTGTACTTGACAGAACCTAGATTACTTGTAATACCAAATGTAAATGCTTGGTAAATAGTTGTAACACTGAATTGTTTATGGAATAGTGAGGAGGAAAAAAAGTACCTACAAATATAGAGCAAATACAGTTTTTTCCAGCTGTATTTAGTTATCTGCAGTTAGTTGAATCCTTAGATGCAGAAGTGCTGATACAAAGGGCCTACTGTACTCCAAAAGTTTTATATTTTAAAACTTAATTTTCTCTTTCTTTGATTTCAAAGGTTCTCAAACATTTTCCCACGTTTATTTGCCAAATGTTGGTAATACTCTGAGAATTCTCTTTTATCTCTGGGGTTCTCAGAGTTTTTGAAGTGATTTTATGTGTTCTCTGGATACTGAGATTCTGAACACATTGTCAATACATTTTTTAATATTTTGCTTCCATTTATTACTTTCTATGTTAAGAAGTTTTGCATTTTATTTAATGAAATATGTTCCATTATCCATTCATCTATTGAAGGGCATCTGGGTTGGTTCCACAGTCTAGCAATTGTGAATTGTGCTGCTATGAACATCGATGTAGCAGTATCCCTGTAGTACGCTCTTTTAAGGTCTTCAGGGAAAAGTCCAAGAAGGGCAATAGCTGGGTCAAATGGTGGTTCCATTCCCAGCTTTCCCAGGAGTCTCCATACTGTTTTCCAGATTGGCCGCACCAGTTTGCAGTCCCACCAGCAATGTACAAGAGTACCCTTTTCCCCACATCCTCTCCAGCACTTGTTGTTGTTTGAATTTGCAGGGAAATGGATGGCACTAGAGCATATTATGCTTAGTGAAGCTAGCCAATCCCTAAAAAACAAATACCAAATGTCTTCTTTGATATAATGAGAGCAACTAAGAACAGTGCAGGGAGGAAGAGCAGGAAGAAAAGATTAACATTAAACAGATACATGAGGTGGGATGGAAAGGGAGAGAAAAGGGAAATTGCATGGTAATGGAGGGAGACCCTCATTGTTATACAAAATTACATATAAGAGGTTGTGAGGGGAATGGGAAAATAAACAAGGAGAGATATGAATTACAGTGGATGGGGTAGAGAGAGAAGATGGGAGGGGAGGGAGGGGGGATGGTAGAGGATAGGAAAGGTAGCAGAATACAACAGTTACTAATAGGGCATTATGTAAAAATGTGGATGTGTAACCGATGTGATTCTGCAATCTGTATTTGGGGTAAAATTGGGAGTTCATAACCAACTTGAATCTAATGTATGAAATATGATATGTCAAGAGCTTTATAATGTTTTGAACAACCAATAAAAAAAATTAAAAAAAAAAAAGAAAGAAATATGTTCCATTAGTGTTAGTAATGATTTAGCATCAGTATGAAGTCAATCCTTTAGTGCTATTATGAAAAGGTTTTCCCTCCAGCATCCCCTGTCTCTTTTACTTAAAAGCATTTTTTGATGTCGGTGGTGAGAAGTATTGTGTCATGCATGAAGTTCACATGTTACGAAACCCACACTGTCATGACCACAGATACCAGTTTACAAGGAGAGACAGTTACAATATGATAATAATCCTAAAAATAGATATGCATGTTATATAAAGGAAGAGGGATTCCTCAGTGGAGTGTAAATACAGGGTCTTTTGAAGACAGGACTTTCCTTGCTGCCTTCCCTCTCCTCAGGCCTCCCGCATTTCCTGCATTTCAGCCTTAGAGAATCACCTCTGTCTGTCCCTGCTTCCCAGAGTGGAGTTCTTTCAAACACTGGAAGATAAGGGCTTGCATAGGGAGCATTCCCAAGATCCCATCTTCCCTGTGGCTCTTCTGTTGTCCTCCCATTTATCCATTCAGCTTTGACTCATATTCTCTTAGAGAAATCAACAAGAATAAATTGGTGAAATACGTTGAAGGCTGCAGGTATTGCAGGTATTGCTTTATATATTATAGATGCATTAATCCTTCTCTGACAGTGAGAGATAAGTCGGTATTATCCCCATTACAGTGAGAGGCAGAGGCACAAAGAGAAGTAAGAAACTTTCCCAGGATCAACAACTAAGAGGTGGAGCCTGGATTTGAACCTAGTTGATCTGGATTTAAAAAAAAAAAAATCACACTTTTCACTAAGGTCCTGTACGCTTTGCAAAACATTGTAAATACTTTACCTCAGTAATGAATAATTGTTTCAAGCTTTGAAACAAACGAACCAATAAACAAAAAAAGCAAAAAACTGTCTCTCAGCTCTAATGGGTCCTGGCTGAAGGCCTGACACTCTCAGGCCTATGGCCAGCTGAGGAGGACTGCCAAACTTGAGGCTGAGTATGGAGAGAGGAAAAAAGGGATGCAACCAGGAAGATACCTCTGCCTTCCTGATTTATTCTTTCTAAATTTTCTCTCCTAGTTAAGCCGAAGGTGACTGTGTATCCCACAAAGACACAGCCCCTACAGCACCACAATCTCCTGGTCTGTGCAGTGAGTGGCTTCTACCCAGGCCACATTGAAGTCAGGTGGTCCCGGAATGGCCAGGAGGAGCAGGCTGGGGTCGTGTCCACAGGCCTGATCCAGAATGGAGACTGGACCTTCCAGATCCTGGTGATGCTGGAAACAGTTCCTCAGAGTGGAGAGGTCTACACCTGCCAGGTGGAGCACCCAAGCCTGACGAGCCCTGTCACAGTGGAATGGAGTGAGTGAGAAGCTTCCTGAACTTATAAATCCCTACCCACCAAGAATGAGACTTGGCTAACCTCTGAGTATAAGGTTTCTCTTCTCCCTATACCATAATTTCATTTGCTGCATGTTCTCCTTTCCGGTAACATAGGTCATGGGGAGTAGTCCTGTGATAGTTTCTACAAACACATATATGCCCTAGGGAAACAATTATGCCCAGTAGATCAAAGAGATGTTGTAAGTATTTTGAACCTTTCCATAATATCATAGGTTATTGTCACTATGTGGATTCAGCTTGACATGACCACAGCCATCTTGAATGGTACCACCATGATAGCCCCAGAGTAATCCTAGTTGGTTTTTCCTGCATAATTTTCTGGCAAATTATAAATAGACAAACCATTAGAGTGGTAGGTGCAGGTTTACAACCAGACACTGGAACCAGAAATATGCCCTTTCTCTTTGATATTAACTGAAGAGAAACCAGGTGCATTCCAGCTTCAATGAAATTACTTTCACACTGAGCATTATGGACACCCTCCTTTTAATACAAATCATAAGATCTACTTGACACTGCTTCTGCTAAAAGATTGTGCTCTGTGCAATTCTAGTCTGTCTCCTTTTCCTTCTATCTCTTGGCACCATGGGGCCAGTTATCTTACCTAGACCATGTTGTTCATTTATCATCTAGTTCAATGCTTGGACCCACGATATTGAAGGAAGCCACAAGGACTTAGATGTTCTCCAGTAGTAAGCATTTGAAAAAGCAAGGATTTGGTAGACCAGGTGCATGCTCTGTATTATCATGCCAATACAGTTAGATGTCACAGTATGGAAGATGGCATAAGTTGGGCCCTCTGGTCAACAAAAACAAAAGGTACCTCTAGGTTTTTGGTCACAGCTCTAGAAGGAAGCTGAAACTAGACACACTCCTGTAGAATAGAGTTTCTACAATGCTCTATTGTCGGGAGCTGCCACTAGGAACTGAGTGCCCCATGGGCCGCATGTGTGTGAACTATGAGCACTGAGTGCACGAAGTGGACTGAACAGATGTTGCCCCTCTGTTTGGGCAGGCCATGTGTGTGTCCTTTTCCCTTGCTCTATGATCCCCACACAGCACATGAAATGGGTGTGGCTTTCCTAGATGTCAGTCAATCTGCTGACAGCAAGATATCACTAAGCTAGACTCAGCCCCTGAAACCTGACCCCTTTGTCCTTTTGGGGATAGAATGTTCCATGGAACCTCCTCTTTTGTGTCCCCAATATAAGAATAAAGAATTACAGTGGCTTTCTCTCTCTTTTTCCATGGACCTCAAAGATTGGAGAGCTGTCTCAGATTTTGAAAAGTTACTTTTGTGTGTTTACATGCTTTCTTTGCCATTTTAAGTTATTGGAATAGTCAGATTTGTGAACCCAGCATAAATCGCTAACTAGGATAGATGGCGATACCCTATTATAGTTGGAGTCACTGATCAAGACTTTACTGGTTGGGCTGGGACTGTGGCTCAGTAATAGAGCACTTGTCTAGCATGTGTGGAACATTGGGTTTGATCCTCAGCACCACATAAAAATAAATAGACGAAATAAAGGTATTGTATTCATCTACAACTAAAAAAATATTTAAAATTTAAAAAAAGACTTTATTGGTCACAATGAACTGGTCCACCAAAAAAAAAAAAAAAGTAGGCAGATGGCCTATTTCATCTCTAGAAGGTAGCTGAGACTATTTCACCAGCCTCAATCCACTATAATGCAGGCCCTTACTCTAAAAAAGTGGCATGCATATTTATAACAATGTTGTGTCCTTTTCAACAACTTATAGTGGAAAATGTTGGGCCCCTTTACCTATGAAATTGCTTCATCACCTGCCTTTTAGAAAACATGGTGACAGAAGCAGGTGGGCAGCCCAGTGCCTATGATCTCATAAGTACAAGAGGGAGTGACCCTCATATCTGAAAATTATTGGTATACTTGGAGCAACCAATGGATAACATGAGTACAAAAGGTACCTATAGGTTTTTGGTCATAGGTAACTATCCCTTTTGATCTTGGACTCTAGACCTCCACAGGTCATGGCTTATGCCCTTAGTGGGCTAAAGGAAATACCTCAGGCTGCTCCCAGTCTGACATGCCATCTCACTGTTAGTTTCAGGAATCACTTACAGACCCCATCCAGTTAGCCAACTGTGTGCGCTCTGCTCCACTACACCAGCCATCAGCTGCCACTGCTGTGTTATCTAAGAGAGATGATGCCAACGGTACTGTCTTGTCGGATGACACATATTTAGCTTTATAAGCCCCTATTAAGCATCTATTTTTCCATCCATAGCTGAAATTGCAGTCTTTTTCTGTTTTCCCTGGAAGCCATGCAGTTATCAAGACAAAACATTGTGTGTACATCTCTCGTATCACATACCTCATGTCATACATTGTTCAATCCCAGGGCTGCAAAGGCCCCACACATACTGTTTACCAATTCCAGAGAAAGAAATTTAGAGAACTCATCAGAGAGGTTTTGGACATTTTATTAACTACTCATTCCTTGGAGATGGGGGTCTAGGATTCAATGGAGAGACATGCCATGCCTACAAGCAGAGGAATATATACATGACAGGTTGCATGCCACTCACAGAAGGATTTTTTCAGATGTTTTATGAGTACAATCCTCTTCAACCAGGATCACTCTATTTAGATTTTCTCCTACAGATTGGAGATAAAGGAAGTGGCCAGCTCCCCCACCCCCCACCCTACTTTCCATTTTTCTCATTATCACATTCTTTTAGAGTCCTTATCTAACTGCAAGCTTTCCTAAGCACTGATTAGCACTTAACCCAACACATACCAAACAATTTTATCCTCTCCCTTCTATAGAAGACATATTAAATTGTTGGTTTGGTTTCAGGGACTCCTGGTGAAAAAAAAATGAGTGTTATTATTATTTGCATAATCCTCCCCCCAAATGCTTCTGTTATTGCTGTGGATTCTTCTTATAAGTCAGACAAGTGGTTTCAAAGTGTGCTGACTACACAAAATTAAACCCCTCACAGATTAGGACATGTCTCAAGAAGAGAGTGTGTGAGAGATTGTAAGAGCTGGTTATAAGAGGTGAAAGTGTAGACTTAGCTTGGCATGACTGCAGCCATCTTGAGTAAACTGTCATGATCACTAGATGGCTTTTCCTGCTTCATTTCCCAGCAAACAATGAATAAATAACAACTGCTAGAATGGTATATGGAGCTTTATAACTGGTCCCTGGTGATGAGAATGTTCCTAATATTACCTTAAAACAAACCAGGTATTCTGGCTTGAATGAAGTCACTTTTGTCTTAACTTGGATATATGCCCCTCCTTCTTCCTCAAACTGTGGGATCCACTTGGTCTTGCTGCTGCCAAGGACCACACTTTCATCATTATGTCTCATAATAAATTGCACTCTGTGAGATCCTATATCTGTTTCTTTGATCTCATGGCACCTTGGATTTCATTTTCATACAATGGGCCCAGGTTGTTTCAAAACAGTCACTTTCTTATCCTGACTCCAGACCCTGACTCAGGACTGGGTTCATGTTTCTGGTGCCCCTGCTTTGGGTTGTTCATTGAGATCTTAGAAGTGAAGCAATGCAGGGGCCTTGCTGACATCCAGAAGAACCAATATCAGGTTTTCCTTTCATTATCTCTGTCAACCTAGACTAGCTATGTAACCTCCGTGGGTCCCAGACTCTTCCTACATCAGGCAATATTTCAAGGTGATGACATTTTAATGAATTCAGTGCATGAATCTTGTAGCTGTTCAATGTGATTTTTAAATCTGTATTTCCAAGAATGTAGTCAAGCCTTCTTCCTCCAGTCTCAAAGCTCTGTCTCTCATGGTCTCTGAGAGATATATTAGGGGCAAAAAATCACTAAACCTGGCTTCTTCTCTCAGGGCCACAGTCTGAGTCTGCATGGAACAAGATGCTGAGTGGAGTTGGGATCTTTGCTCTGGGTCTGCTCTTCCTTGGGGTGGGGATGTTCATCTACTACAGGAATTAGGAAGGTAAGGAACCAGTTTGTAGCTGAGACTTTCTATAGACTTTTCTGGGGTAAGAAATAGGGTTTTGCTGAGGTTAGTCCTCAGGATACCTTGTATAAAGTTTTTTCTTTCCCCAGGTGACTTCAAATCTCCTAGAAAACTGTAAATCAACAGTCTATAGTAACTATATCAAAACCTAAGGGGTTGTGGCTTATAGAGATAAAAGAAAGTTTAACAACTAGAGATACTGGGTCAACAACCTGGTGAAAATGAAGGAAGAGTTGCTAAGTATTCTATTTGTGTGACAAGAGTTTCCTAGTCACACACTCTCAGTTTGTTCTCCACCCTCTGCCCTGGCTGGTTTGGGTTGTGGTGTTGAGAAATCTCAGATGGCATATCTAAGACTCAGGATATTGAGGCTGGGGGAAGATTTGCCTCCATATCTTTAAGTATCTATCTTCCTAGGATGCCAAAAAATTCAGCCAACAGGTAATGTCCTTTAATCCTCTCTTAGAGACAGATTTGTTTTCCCTACAACAGAAGGTAGGGTGACCAGACCTGAGACAGTAATAAAGGGAAAGGCTTTGAGTCCAAATTTCTGATCAGGCAGTATGCACTAAATCTTCTTTCCACATAATAAAAGGTCTATGCAAGTAGCATTGAATTAGGAGAGTTAAGATTTTTTTTTCTCTTTGTATTACAGTGCTATCATGAGAGGGGAAAGGAAGCCATTTGCAAAATTAGGACTGAAATACCACTGTCCTCTGCCTTCTGCAGGATTCCTGAGCTGAATAGAAGGTGACAACACTGACGGAACCTCTCCAAGTCATAAAAAGGCTTCCTGCTTGGCTCTCCTTCTTCTACATAGACAGTGCATTCTCAGGACTTGGTTCCCTGTAGTTCAGTGACCCCGCAGAACATTTCCTTCTTGCTGGCTTCCTGAGCCCCTGCCCCTGACCTGGAAGCTCCAGTACAGCCCCAGGGGGACCTTCTCTCCATTTTCTTCTGGACCCTGAATATTCAACTCTGACTGCCTCCAGAGGGTCTGAACTCACTTTGTGCCACATTATTTTATTCCATTTTCTTCAAATAAACATGGAGTGAAAAATCATCTGCTTCAGAGTTTTAAGGAAAAGAAAGAAAAGAGAAATGAAGGACTGCATCACAATATAACAATTCCTTTCATTTTCATATAAGTGCATGAGATATTCCACTTGTTAAATAGGTGGAGTTATCGTTTCCCTGCATACAGATGTATCAAACAGATGACTGCACCATGGGGCAAATGATTTTTACTTGTCAATTTAAAAATTGGTCCAGAATTTTAAAAGACAATGCCAAAAAGCACAGAGTATAACAAATAAAGCAAACTTGATGAAAAGTACTTAATAGAAAACAAGCTAGAAAAATAAATCAAAACTTTTTGGGGGTGACAGTGCTTGCCTAAAACATTGTGTAACTTGCAAATCAATCTATGGATCAAAATTCACAGACTCTACTAATATACTATTATGAAGCAGTTTCTGGGAAAGGCACTTAAATTGGATGAGAAGGTGGAGGGTTCTGCTCTTGTGTTCCATCTGAAGAGTCATTTTCCAATATAAGTCAAATCAAAGAGCAAATAATCAGTTCCGAAGTTTATCTCAAAGTAATAACCATTTGGACACAATTTCTCCACTGTTAGATGCCACTTTTATTTTATTTTTATGCCTATTAAAATTATTAAAATTTATATATTTATAAAAATTATATTTTAAGTCACATTATTAATTATTTGTATAAAGCAGATTCTCCTATAGGAATTTGATGAGTAGATATTGTCTCTTAGATCCCAGGGTTGTAACCTTACTCTGGTTTTATTCCCACCAATGAACAAATGACTTGTCTCATTTTATTTTAGATCCACAGTGTGAAATTAGTTGAAAGGTAGAACTAAAATCTATGGCTCTCTTATTTCAGTGAAGGTATTTTCTGGTAAGAGTAGCAGGAAATCCAATCTAATTAGTTCTATTTTTCCATAACTTGCTGTGATACACAGCAGGGGGATCCAAGGTGGGACATCTCCAGGGCTGCTTGAGTCAATGGGCCAGTGGCTTCTCCAATGATCTTCATCATTCACAACATGCTGAGATGGTAGGGCACCTCCTACACCTTTAGCTTTCATGTTCTCTCACAACAATTTCTAAAGGCAGGAAAAGGAAACTTCTTCTTCTTTTGTGCTTTTTTAAGGCCTAAGTAAACAACTTCCAGAGTTCCCAGAGGACCACAGATTACAGTCATGGGCTCAGTAAACTATGATTCAACTTTTGTGGAGTGGACCTGTTGCATGTGGGAAGAAAAAGAGCAAAATCTTGCCTGTGTTGAAGGAAAGAAATGATGGATGGAGTAGGAGAGAATGATTTGGGGTAGGGAAAGGTAGTTCCAGACACCATTAGGTTGTTAATTTTTTAAGTTAATTCCTCATGAAGGCCTATAGATTCTTAATAAGCATCATCAATTCAAGGTTTTGAGTATTTAAAAAAATATTAAATATTAAATTCCTCCCTTTAAACTAATTACAAGAAAACAAAAAGCAAAAAGATTGCCTTTTTTAACTTAATACTCTGAAATGTGGTTTTTGAGGAAGTTATATTCTCGGTTTATGTTTAAAAAGAGGCATAATAAAAATGAAGAGCTATTGGATGTTAATACATTTCATACACCTATTTTAATAGATACGTTTTTGTTCCTGAGACCAGAATCAAAACCCTGATCATGTATTAAGATACATGGGTGGTTTCAATTTGTTGACAAAATGTATTAAAAACACATTCATTTCAAGAAAATAGATCTGTGATGAATAAAACTTGAAAATATAAAGAAAGTATAAAATTAATAGTGCATTTGTTATTATTTCTATTACTATCATCACCATTATTATAATTACATTTAAGAACAAAGAGGCTTTGTAAACCTTATACTTTGCTGGAGTGTTAATGTTGCAACTACTTTGGAAAATAGTCACTTTCTTAAAGAGTTAAATACATATTTGTCATATGTCCCAGCAACTTTATTCCTTGAAATCTACCTAAGCAAAATCAAAATGTGTCCTCACCAAGATATGTGTATACATGTTCAGAGCAGCATTAGCCACAATAGCCCCATGCTGGAAACAATCCAAATATCCATCAACTAGTAAATGGATAAATAAAATACACTGCACCCATACAATGCAATACCATTTGACAATGAAAGGAAACAAAATGATGATATATGCAACAAAACTGATGGATTTTAAAAGCATTGTACTAACTGGAAGAAACAACACAAGAGTATATGATTCCATTCACATGAAATACAAAAGACAAATATGATCAGTGGGTATAGGTTTAGAATGGGGGGTAGGGATTATGAATAAACAGGAAAACTTTTGTAGAGATAGATACATTATAAGACTGTGTTGTGATAGTTGCACAAATTATTGATTTACTAGAGTCATTTAATTTTGCCTGTACAATGAATAGATTTTGTGATGTGTAAATTTTATCTACTAAAACTTTTAAGATATTTCTAAAGTGAATCTTCCTAAGCAAAACAGAAAACCCAGAAGATAAAAAGAAAATATTTTGAATAAAATTATAAATTCCTTTGAATTGAAAAAATAACAAAATAAAGAAAAAGAGAAAAAAGAAAGCTATGATCTCAGGAAAAACTTTGAGGAACACAATTCAGACAATGGGCTAACATTCTTATTATATAAAATTGTCAACAAACCAACAAATCAATGAACAAAAATTCAATAATAAATTAGTCAAAGGATATATGACTGTGTAAAGAAGAGAATATATGAATATCAACTAAACATAAAATATATAAACTCACCAATAATTACAAATAAATGCAAATTCACATAATGATATGATATTTCTCCTCCAAAATTGGCAAATATAATAGCTTGTTTTTGAATCAAGAACTTAGAAGATCTTATGGAGAGGGATTATCCATAATATATATACTATTAATATCTACATAATAATCTGTATAATATCTATACTATTAACAGGAGTGCGAATGGGCAGCAGCTGGATAGTATCTACTAGCTTTTAAAATGCAAATGTTAAATGATTGATAACAACAAAAATCCATTTGTAATCTATCTTAAAGAATGAATCCTACATGAGCCTAAGCATACATTAAATTGGCTATTTATTCTACTAGGACTGAAAAAAATAAAAACATCTTGCAAATTCTGAAACAAAAAAAATGACAAATTTGTCATGCTTATAAAAATTCTATATTACAAAGTATGTGAGGTGACAATATACTACAAGATGACATTTAGATAATATGCATGGCAATATGAGCATGAATTGATATGCCCAACTGAGTGGTTTGGATAATTCAATATTTTTACCCTAGGAGTTTACAGTCTAAATTATCATATTTTTAGCCAGGATGATAGATAAAAGATGTAAGAAGAAAAAAAATTCTGACTTTTTGGATAGATGACAGATATATTATGGTATAGTCATTTGGGGGGATAATGCATGGGCTTTAAATGAATGAATTAGGACTATAGTTTGTAACAAGGATTAGAACAAAAAAATTACAAACTATAGTTCCAGTTAGCACATGGAACAAGGCAAAGGCCATCTTTGTTACTTTAACAACAACATGCAAATTAAACTAAAAGAATCAACTGGAAAAATATTATTTTTAAGTACTCCAAAGATCTATAGATGCAAAGAGTTTTTAAAACCTAGAGAGAAGTTCTGCTTAATTGAGCTGGGGACAAGTGTCCACTCTGATCCTTTGGGTCATCTCTAAATCTTAACATGAGTGGGAAAAGAGACCTACCACAGAAGGGGAGACTTTGACAGGGCAGAGAAACCAGAAAACTCTTAAATGTCCCAGGGGGTTTGGGTGATAGATTGAAATCTATAGAGTTTTCCAAATATAACATGTGTCTCCTTTTTCCTGTCGGTGGAGTCCCTTTTCACAACATTTGCTGAGTTCATGGTGGGGGTGTAGGAACTTTGGAGGTAGACAGAAGGCAGAAAAACATCTTTATAGTTTTGTACAAACAAAAAATCACTAAGAAAGTCAAGATATGAATGATACTTTTAAGCATCTTGTCTTAATTAGTATTTATAATTGATTTTATGTATATATGTATACACATATATACACATTTTATGTATATATGTGTACACATATACACATATACACACACTGTTAACATCTAATAAATACTATATATATATATATATATATATATATATATATATTAACATTGTAATAATAATACATTTAACATAGAATCTCTACTGTGGCCATAAAACTAATCTTGATAAATTTAAAAAATTAAAGTGATACAGTATATATTCTCTGACCACAATTTTATCAAATTACAAATTAATAAGACTGATAAAATTCCCAGTATCTTTGGAAATGAAGCAATACACTTCTAAACAATACATGGATTGACACAGAACAACTCAGGAGAGAAATTAGAAAATATTTTAAAATAGAGGTGTATTAAAATGGATTTTTTTTAAAAAATAATTTTTTTAGTTATACATGGACACAATATCTTTCTTTTGTTTATTTTTATGTGGTACTGAGGGTCGAATCCAAGGCCTCATATGTGCAAGGCAAGCATTCCGCCACTGAGCCAAAACTCCAGCCCAGATTTCCAAAATTTTTGATGTGCAAGTAAAACAGTTGTTAGAAACTTAAGAGTTTAAATCTTATATTATAAAATTATAAATTTATTAAAATCAGACATCTAAATTTTTAACAAAAATCTAGGAAAACAAAATAAATTTAACTTAAAAGTCCAAAAAAAGGAAAAAGAAAATTAATAAAATTGAAAATGGATGTATATCAGAGAAAATGAACAGAATCAGAAGGTTTTGGGGGTTTTGTTTTTGTTTTTGATAAACAACCTTCAAAACCAATAAGGAAGAAAAACAAAAAAATCTGAAAAATGAATTGTAACCATCTGAATGAAATAGATGACATCCCTACAGCTCCTACGGATATTAAAAAGACAGTAAAGGACACCAAAAGAATTTTTTTGTCATTAGATTTAACATCTTCAATGAAAATCTGAAAAACACAATATTTCAC